CACCCAATCCATCCACATTAGACAACCCACTCATTGCAGGTACCAATATAGAAAACTTCACTTTAAATACATTTAACTTCTTCCTTAAATAAAGAGACCAAAGCTGCACATTTATCCAAGATATGGTCCCAGCTGTGTAACTGACGAAGGGACACCCAACCGGAAACATTAACTCTGATTTCTCTCCACAGATGGTGCCACATCTGCTGAGATTTTCCAGCATTTTCTGTTTCTGTTTCTGACTAACGGCATCCACAATTCTTTCAGATTTTATTTAGAAGAAACATCAAGATGTCCAAAATTGAAAGTTTGCACCATGAGTTCACATCACGCCATGATGTCCAATTCTCAACCCTTGTTCTGTTCAGTTCTCTCTAAACGAATCATGCTTCTATCAGAAGATCATGTTTACTAGTCTTGGTAGACTAGAGACAGAGATGACCATTATGAAATGAACCAGCCTATGTGTCAGTTACAACTAATCTGAGTTTACTTAACATTAGCTCAATTAAGTCCACGTGCTATGAGCCAGCAAGAAAACAATATAAAAACAATCAGAATGGTAAATATTTAACATTCGGATGTACTGACTCATTTCAAAAGACAAGTACTTGTATCATTATGGTAAGTAAACAATGTGTGCCTCTTCATGTCAAATGATGACATTGTGATAAATGCATAATGGTGAAAAAATACTATTTCCTTTCAAAAAAAAAGTCATGTTAATATTAGAGTCTCTAATTCTGCATTTTTCACACCATAGTAGAACTTACCATTGCTAATGACTGATCAGTAGGCACTCAGTTGCAAACCCCCATGTATCACTGATGAGGCTATTATAATGAATATTAATGATTCTAAGAGGTTAATCTAGCATGATGGATAACGGAAACAGCAATTAATTTAGACAATACACAATCAAAAAATATTGTATTGTGCCACACTCCACTTGAAGGAAAGATAATAATTTCACACTTTCACTTGTGAATCAGTATTAATTGGAATTGAGGACAAGAGGTTAAAATGCTGGTTAGACAGGGTCAGTGAGAAATTTTTCTGGTCAGAGATTTAATTCTAATTCACACACCACAAATTTCAACACTTCTTGCTATCTCCCTACATTTATACATCCGGTTCTGACCCAATAATTTATTACACACCAACCATGGGGCAGGACGGTGGCTCAGTGGTTAGCACTGCTGCCTCACAGCACCAGGGACCCGGGTTTGATTCCAGCCTCGGGCGACTGTCTGTGTGGAGTTTGCACATTCTCCCCGTGTCTGCGCGGGTTTCCTCCAGGTGCTCTGATTTCCTCCCACAATCCAAAGATGTGCAGGCTAGGTGGATTGGCCATGCTAAATTACCCATAGTGTTCAGGGATGTGTAGATTAGGTGGGTTATAGGGGAATGGGTCTGGTTGGAATGCTCTGAGGGTCGGTGTGAACTTGTTGGGCTGAAGGGCCTGTTTCCACACTGTTGAGATTCTATGATCTATGATCATCACTTCTTCCTGGATTCGATTACTTCTCAGGTATCCCCACCAAATCTTACTAATAATAACTTTGAAGGCTACAGCAGTAAACTATCATAGGTTCCAACAGTTAGATGAAAAAGGCTACTGTCCTCTATTATTTGAAGGCAAAATTGTTTGCTGCTGTAGCTCAGACATGCAGCAATTATTATACATTCGTAACTCACCTGAAATCCAGGATTATAAATATTAATTGCCACCTGATCGGGCTTTTATGTGGATTATTGACAAGTTCAGTATTATCAATCATTATTGTTACTAGCCCCACATTCGCAATGATCAGGTGTGACTCATTTTCCTGTCCAATAATGAGGAAATGAAAGGGGCCCTCTTGTGACACAGTGATAGTGTTACTACCTCTGGACCAAGTGACCAAGTCTCATCTGCTCCAGAGGCATGTAATATGAACAGGTTGACTAGAAAAACAGGTTGATTAGAAAAACAGGTTGAGGAAATAAACAGGACCACACAGAATCAAGGAAAGCCTAGCGCTGTTCTAACGAGGGATTACTGGACTTAAATGCTAACTCTGTCTTTTTTTTCTCCACAGTTACAGTCACTACTGCAGAATTTCTGTAGTGATTGCAAACGAGGTCAGCCAACTGGATGTCATTGAATATGAGTTCCCTAATTGGGGCTGTTAATCTGCTCCCATCAGGGAGCCCTGACTGACAGATAAAAATAGGAGTGTCAGACATCCTGATACTGACAGCTGGCTCTGAAGATGCAGTACTAGAGTCTTAGACTCATAGAGGTCTACAGTATGAAAACAAGCCCTTCAGCCCAAATTGCCCATGCTGCCCAGATTTCACAATTTAAACTAGTCCCATTTGCCCATGTTTGGTCCATATTCCTCCATGCATCTGTCTAAATGTTTCTGAAATGAAGAAATTGTACTCGCTTCCACCACTACCTCTGACAGCCTGTTCCAAACACTCAGCACCTTAAAATTGTCCCCCTGACTCTTCTGTATCTCTCCCCTCTCACCTTAAACCTATGCCCTCTTGTTTTAGACTCCCCTACCATGGGGAAAAGCTATCTGTTATCTACCTTATTTATGCCTCTCATGATTTTATATATCTCTAGAGTCTAAAGTCAAGGACTCTTCATATTTGAATAAAGAGTGATTTGGTGACAGGATTCTGGCCTCTGGAATTATTTCAGTTCCTCCAGTAGTATTTGTTTTTGTTTTGAATCTGTAACTATGCTGTTTTTGGAATACATTATCTACTATTATGCAATTCTGTCTCTCCCAGCTATGCAACCTTCATTCCCTATGAAAAAAGACAGTGAATATATACACTGACAAAATGGAAACTCATGATAAGTTAACAGATTGCTTCAGTTCACATTGAGTTAAACATTTTGGCCTCCAAGTTTAATTCTATAATAATTCTACAGTTTTAGCATTATGGATGCCATTTTGATACCAAAATAGTATCCAAGCTCTGCATACACACACACATGCACACCAAAAACACATTTTGATCTGGTTAATCTGGTACAGATGTTAGGCATGAGAGGTACGCAGAGTGGGTAGATTGTAGTGTGTATCAGTCTGTAATGTTACTTTAGCACCAGCATAGTCATTTTCACTTGAAAATTCACTAAACAGGAGATTGCACAGAAATTCTGCTGGAAGGGAACATTGAGTTCCCTAAGCTTTATTGCAGTTGATTTTCTCCAGACTCTCTCAGAGTTTAGAGAAATGATTGATGATTTGCAGAATTGATTGAAATCTCCGAATGGAGTATTGCTGCACGTGGGAAAAGCTTTAGTTATAACTTCAAGATGTCTGGTTAGACAACATGTTCCCAGCCATGTGTAACTGCACCCTTGAAAGACAGATGCAACGAAGAGGAAAACAGGATGTGTGCAAACAGAGGAGGAAGAGGTAGACTTTCAGCAGGGTAGTTTACTCATCAAGAAATCTTGTGGGAGTAATTTTTTTTTATCCATTACCTAACTTCAGGTGCAGGTATATGCATTTTATATGGGCAATGCTCACAGAAATCTGCAAATATGCCTTGGTCAGTGGCTGTGAAGATGACCATTTCCCTGAATGTTTTTGCTTTGGGATCCTTCCAGAATGGAGCAAGTAGCATCTTCCAGTTTGTGGTCCACAGAGCGACCATATTTGCCTTCTGTGTGACGAGAGAGAAGTTAGGCATGGAGAAGGAGTGGCAGGAAGAGGAGGAAGAGGAAAAGGCAGAGTAGCAGAAAGGCAGAAGGTAAGCAATATATTACCAACAGGACCTTAATGAATTATGGTTCCACAACCTTGCCTGAAATCTCCATTCCATTACAGCCCTAAACCTTCCCTTCTCTCTGTCATTGACCATCACAGTGTCCTGTTTGTCAAGATGCTGAGATAAAAGCATCACAAAATTAATTTTTGTGAAGAAGGGTCCCGACCCGAAACGTCAGCTTTCCTGCTCCTCTGATGCTGCCTGACCTGCTATGCTCTTCCAGCTCCACACTGTGTTATCTCTGACTCCAGCATCGGCAGTTCTTACTATCTCAAGGCAAAATTAACCAAGTCCATTTTATCAAAGAAACCAACCACTATTCCATAAAAAGGTCAGCTAATCACTTTTGTGCAGTGCCTTAGTGCGTATCTTCAGTGCTTATCCCAGACCACATGGTCCATGCCCGTGGAGCAGGGAGGTGGGTAGTGCTGGGGACTTCAAATGGGCTCATAAGACACTCTCCAGCTCTGGGGTTAGAAAGGCCAGCTTTGGGCTGCACTATTTTCCACCTAATCAGCAGTAGTCTTCCACGAGCAGGTAACAAGGGAGTTGTTGGATAGTTAGGAGTTGGACGAGGAACATTATCACCTTGGGAAAGGCCAGCAGCTCATGGTCCATGACAATGACAGTAGGCTTGCCAATGAACCAAATATTTCATTATTCATGACGTTTTCTGGACTCTTCTCATTCAATGTTCTCAGTTAAGCAGCAAAACCAGTACATAATCTCACCCATGTGCTCTTATGGTACAGTCATAATGGTCATACCTCTGAGCCAGGAGGCCTGGGTTCAAGCCTCACCTGCTCCAGAGGTGCGTAATAACATCTCTGAACAGGTTGCTTAGATAATAAATGTAATCTCACCCAATGCTGAGATAGCATCAACTGGCATTACCTATTCTGAGTAAGGATCACCGGACCCGAAACGTTAACTCTGGTTTTCTCTTCTGAGCTGAGCTTTTCAAGCAACTTCTGTTTTTGTTCCTGACATTAACCCTTGCCTTCCGCCTTGTCCATAAGTTACTTGTGAGTCACCGTGCCTACAACTCATCTGCACCTTCTCTGTACCTGTAACACTGTATTCCACATTCTATCCTGGTTCACTTCCTTTTTCATAGAATCCCTAGTGTGGAAACAGGCCCTTCGTCCCAACAAGGCCACACCGATCTCCGAAGAGCATCCCACCCAGACCCATCCCCTTATAACACACCTAATCTATACATCCCTAAACACTATGGGCAATTTAGCACGGCCAATCCATCTACCTTGCACATCTTTGGACTGTGGGAGGAAACCGGAGCACCCGGAGGAAATCCATGCAGACACGGAGAGAATGTGCAAACTCCACACAGACAGTCACCCAAGGGTGGAATCAAACCCGGGTCTCTGGCAGTGTGAGGCAGCAGTGCTAACCACTGAACCACCGTGCCACCCCTTGTATGTCCACTGCAGTGAGGAGCAGTGGAATTAACCCTAATAGCTTGATCAATACCTAATCCTCGATCACCATCACAAAATAGACAGATGATATGGTCGTTATCATTTTGCTGTTTGTGAGGGTCTGCTGCACACACACTGGTTGCTGTATTTCTCACAATAAAACAGTGACTACACTTCAATAGTATTTCATTGGTTGTGCAGTACATTGAGATGTCTGGTGGTTGTGAAAAGCATGGTATAAATGCAAGTTTCCCTTTTACTTATATTAAAAAATTAAGTGTCGACCTGTTTATTATAACACTTTCATCAAAATATGAGAAGGATTTCATATAAATGTACTAATTTCCTTAAGGACCTAAAAACAATCTGAACTGACACCAAGTCGAAATCCAAGATTTGGTCCAACTGATTCTGGAGTGGAGTAAAATTAGGAACGTGGGTTAGATTTCATCTGATTCAAAAGCCATCCACTTAAAGGACTCAGCCCCTTGTTCTCAAGGTTTTAAATTAGGACTTTTACACATCAATGAGAGAGAAAACTGTTTTACACCACCGTTGTAACAGTGGAGCAGAATCAGAGACACATCAAATGCAGAGCTGCAGAATACTCCAATGAAATCCAAATTCAAACTTTTGCTGTGCCCAGTGTAATGCTTTGAATGTTATAAACATGAATTGTAAAAACTCAGTTAGTGATGAACAATTAGAGTGCTAAGATCTATGAAAACAAAACAAAAGGAGCAGAACGATTTTTTAAAAATCTAATCATAAATGTTAAGAAAAATGTCTCAATACAGAAGATTTGCCTGTGGTCATGTAAACTTGCTCTATATAATAGAGAACACTCAAGGTTTATTCAATAAGTTTAAGCTGCCTATAAACCTATTCTCTTAATCAATACAGACTAGGAAAAAGGTGGTAAGAAAACTGAAAGGAAAATCCTAAATATTGAACATAATGGCAAGACAACCGGCACATTAAAGGAGAAATGGTTACTGTTTTGATCAAGTATTGGATGACTGACCCTATGAGAATGCTAATAAACATACCACTTTAAACAGCAGTAAGAAAATTTTCATCGTTTAGCCTTTAAATGGAAATACCTCAGACAATGATCATCACAAGACTTGAATGCCAAAACTAGTCACAATTTAGGGGAGAGGAATAAACTGTTCATAATTATTTGTAATACTTTTGGCTTTAAACTTACATAAAGTGAACATTAGTAGAATGAACGAGTGAAAGGTTAATATATGCTTAATGCCCTAGGTATCCACTGGGTCTAACATCAGTTCAAGCTTAAAAAGTGGCTAAATAAATACAATGCGCATCCTTAAAACATAGCATATTTTGCAGATCATGTCATGACAAATTATGCATCACCCATATTATTAAAGTTGAAAAGAACTGTATTACTTTCTTTTGCAGGTGCTGATTGGAAACGATGATGACATTTGGTGGATCCCCGACAGCTGTGGCCGCTCCGCCAATATTCGTGAAGACAATCTCTGCGATCAGCACGTGCCTAGGGTCCAGATTGAGCACTTCACATAACCTATAGGAGACAGGATACAATCAGGAAGCTGGAACCCAAATGAAGCAAACTTTGCCTGACCCAAACCCAACCCACATCCCTGCACCAGACTGAAAAAAGAAATAGGAAAACAATCACTGCCAGATATTACAGAATTGCAAAGTCTGGGATCCTAGCAGAGGTAGAGTGCAAATGGATAATTGATGGCTTGTTCAAGGATTATCAATGTTATTGTGGCAAAATGTCACCTCCTTACTCGTTACTCGAGTATAATTCCCTAAGCTTCAGCCAACCAGTTCTAACATTTCATAGTCTTTACGTACAAGCCTACAGAAGGATAGTGCTCGAGTTATGCAACATGCTGTCCTTCCCAAGGAGGCATCAGGTCACAGCTGAAACCAGTCCTACCTGCACATGTACAAACCAACCTCCCATCCATTGACTCCATCTGTACTTCTCACTGCCTCGGAAAAGCAGCTAACATAATCAAAGACTCCTCCCACCCTGGATATAATCTCTTCCAACCTCTTCATCAGGCAGAAGATACAAAGGCTTAAACACAGAAACCAACAGATTCAAGGACAGCTTCTTCCCTGCTGTTATTAGACTTCTGAATGAACGTCTTAAATTTTAAATTTAATGTTGATCTCACTCTTTGTGCCCCTTCTCTACAGCTGTAATATTGTATTCCTCGCTCTGTCCTATTACCCTAATGCACTTTGTATGGTATGATCTACGGTATGCAAAACAAAACTTTTCACTATATCTAGGCACATGTGACAATAATAATAAATCAAATCACATCAATATACATGGTGTGGCAGAGGTCACCGAGGGGTAACAGAAAGTGTGTACCCAGATTAATTATCCCCCGGAAGGCCAAAACCACAGCTGGTATCTTGACTCAGGTCTGTGAAGTCAATATGGGCTGAGAATTTAAACCATTCTCTTCCACTCCCACAACTTATCTCATTACAGTTTTCAAATCTGTACTGTGTACTCTGAACTGCCCTCTGGGCAACTGGGATGGGAAATAAATGCAGCCCAGCCAGCGACATCCTCACCCCGTTAATGAATAAAGGAAAAAAAATATAGTGGGATAACAACCTGATTTGTTGCCAATATGAGGAAAGGAAGTGTGTTTATAGCAGGTTCAGAAGTGACAGGTAGGAAGGTGCGAGACAGAAAGATGGAGAGTGGTCCTCCTGCCTGAAGGCCAAATGAGGCCTTAAAATAGCCAATGAGGAGGCTCAACCTAACAGAAACCAGCTGGAAATTTGTCATGTGGGATAATTAACCACCCAGCAAAACCTGTCGGGTTTGCTTCAGACCTATTTGAGGTGATCATCGTATTCAGGCATGCTGTGCCCTCTTGAGGTACCTGGCATTGCAAGGGGCAGCCCAAAGGAAATCACTCCCCTGTCTTTGCTATCCCTCCACCAAATGGGAGGTGAGGGTTGGTGGGAGGTGGGGGGGGAACGGTTTGTGTTCGGGGGAAGAATCTATTATCTCGGTGAACATAATATATTGCCAGAGGCCTGTACTCCCAGGGGCAAAGCTGCCTGCTTCTGATTGGCCAACAGGTTTCAGCAGGATGGGATTTCTACATTGCAGTGGGATGGATTCAACACATAGACCTAAGCTGCCCAGAAAAGTGCCCGACTGTCATAAGATACCAACAGGGCTCACAGAAAAGAGTAACACAGGGACCCCATAGGTTTTCCAGGTGATTGACAGGCTCCTTATTTGCAAACACCAAATTCCATCAATGGAATATTTGCTAGTCTCTGTTTATAATATCTTGTCTCTGTTTCATTTAAAGTAGGTGTTTTAAACACCACTCTCATTAGAAAGCCCAGCTTTCACTCAAGGATATCGCATTTGTTTAGAGGCAAGGGTCTAAGGTTTCCAGTAATTTTGAGGTCTGAACCAGTCAGTAGAACAGAGGAAGTCATTGAATCGCACAATCCTTTCAGCACAGAAGATCATCCAGCCCATTATGTCTCAGCTAGTCTCACTTTTTGCTTTTTTCCTGTGACCTCAGGCAGTATAGGACTTGTACTGATGCCATTCGTATCATGCCGCATTGCAAATTAACTACCGAGCCAATTGAGCTAACCACCACAGCCACACCCCTTGCCTGCGGTGTAGTGACCCTCAGGTTAAACTCACCACCAGTCATCTCTCTCTAGTGACAAATCAGCCTATGGTCCTCTTACTATGGAGGCTTTCACTTTCCCTTTCTCTCGCTGATTTATTTTCTCTCAGGTGCTTATTCTTTTTTGAATCTCAAGATGCAATTTGCCTCATCCACATTCAGATACAATGTTACAGATCATGAGCACTCACTGGGCTGGATTTTACATGTTGTCCCTTACCCAACCCCGAAAGAGAATAAAGCATTATTGGTTAATGATTTGAAGAACTTGGGATACAATTTGATGAATTCTCACAGTCCATGATGACCTGATGTATTCAGTAGTGTTAAAATGTTAAAAAGGGGACATCTTTTCTGTACTTCAGAATATTTGTTGCTGAATAAGTAGTGTTTATTCCCAGGCCCCAAGAAGACTTTCCACATCAAGCAGATGTTCACCTGCACATCTGCCAATGTGGTATACTGCATCTGCTGTGCCCGGTGTGGCTTCCTCTACATCGGGGAAACCAAGCGGAGACTCGGGGACCGCTTTGCAGAACACCTACGCTCGGTTCGCAACAAACAACTGCACCTCCCAGTCGCGAACCATTTCAACTCCCCCTCCCATTCCTCAGACGACATGTCCATCCTGGGCCTCCTGCAGTGCCACAACGATGCCACCCGAAGGTTGCAGGAACAGCAACTCATATTCCGCTTGGGAACCCTGCAGCCCAATGGTATCAATGTGGATTTCACAAGTTTCAAAATCTCCCCTCCCCC